CCATTCCCATGATCTTTCATTTGGAGAGATCTGCTGTCTTCTGTCACTATGTGTGCAAGGACAGAGCTTGCTCCTGACTTTTTCCTCGCCCTTTTCCACCCATGTGTAACAGAGGGGCATTAGCTTAGACAGCAGTTTGGTCCCTGATGCCTTCAGAGACAGAAAGGCAACAGCAAGACAAAGGCCGAATGTTAGGTATTTTTCATATAGCATGATTACTAAACCACAGATTAAAATGAAAGGCAAAGGATAAAAGGAGAACTTTCTGATGTGTGGTGTGTATGTACATTTTGAAAACCCCAAGAAAATAATAACACTATCTGCTCTTACATAGAGCTCTGCTTCAAGTCTTTTGTTTCCTGCTTTGCACAGCACCAGGTACACCAGCACAAGCCTCCACCATCACTTCCCTATTTTTGTTGCAGACATCCAATTGCTCTTCTGGGTGTATATGTGGGGCTCTTGTTTTTATATTCTGTTTGGTTGCAGGTTGTTTTGTGAAATCCACAAGGGAAGGGGCTTGCATTTTTTTTGTGTGTGTAACAAAGACACAGAAACAGGGAGGCTTCACATGAAAGCTGTTTCTACAGTCACTGTAACCCAGATACAGAGAAGACAACTGGAGTGCAGTGTAAGGAAGGATTTCCTCCTTCAGTCCCACAGAATAAAAGCCAAAGGAGAAGAGAATAAAGATGAAGCACTCATGCAGTTCCTGACCTTCGCAGAAAGGTACGGACTGTCAAAAGCCTCCAGGATACCCAGGCCTGGGTATCATCCATCTGTACTTTACGGATGCAGCACTGCAGTGCTTTCAATTCCCATAGTGCAAGTGCCAGGTTTCTGAGCAGTGAGCAGTGCTGGCTCAGGTGGACTTGAGCCTCCCTTCGAGGCAGAGCACGTGGGTTTGCCCCATGCCCCCTTGCTGCCTGCATTGCCAGCCTGAGCTGCTTTGCTGTTAAAACTTGATACTCCATCCTTAGCCACCATCCTTTACAGACCTCCATGCAACTGGGGTGACTAGGTGGGACTTTAAGAAAATAGGAATAATATTTCTTCAAGTTCTTATATGAAAAACAATACAGATGCTCAATGGGTGATTATTTTCATGCTTTCCTTCCATGCTGTGATTTTGCTCTAGACAAAAGTTCTTTTGCCCACTGAATAGGCACCAGGCACACACTCCTCTATGTGCTTGCTGTCACATCCTGTGCACTCTTGGAAAGACAAAGTCAGTGGAAGAAAGTCACCCTTTGTTTTCTCTTCTTGCTAGAATATGAAATCCTACTTCCAAGAGATCCTTGCTTAACTTGGGAGTTTGTTTTTTAATTCAAGAGGATCCTATCAAGCTCTGTCAGTGCTCCCAGCTTCCTGATGAGAGCAGACTGCAAACTGAGGACTGATCACTTATAAATCGTACAAGGCTTCATATCTCTGTCACAGTCCAGAACAAACTGAACCAACACCTGGGGCAGCTGAAAGCATGCACTGGACCCAAATCTTAAATCTCAGACTATAGTTAAGGAAAAAAATTTTTATGTTGAGATTGGTGAAACACTGGAAGAGGTTTCCCAGGCAGGTGGTAGATGCCTCAGCCCTGGAGACATTCAAGGCCAGGTTGGACAAGGCTTTGAGCAGCTTCATCCAGTTGAAGATATCCCTGCTCATAGCAGGAGGGTTGGACCAGATGACATTTGAATCTCCTTTCCAACCCAAAGTATTCTATGACTCAGATCTGGGCCAGGTACATTCCTGCTTTGAGCAGAGTTTGGCATTGTGGTCTAAATCTGATCTGGTACTAAGCCAAGGATCTGCACAGTACAGTTAAAATCCCTAACTGAGCCTGGATTAGAACAGAATTTCCCTGAATCATCGTCACAGAAAGAAGACCTGGTAAGGTAAAGGAATTCCTTCAGGTAGAGGAATGTAAATATAAAACTCTGGTTTTATCTATTAAAGAAAAAAAACAATAAAGGAAACAGGAAAGTAATTCTGAAGACAGGTATGTGGTTTACCTTACTCTAGTATACCTGGCTCTGAAGCCTACCAGTAAATGTCCCTATAAGTAAACATTAAGGAGACACAATGCATTCTTTTGATACTAGCTCCTAATGCCAAGGCACTGAGGAAAGAAAAATTTTCTGAAGGCAGAAAGACACTTCAGGGAAGGCAAGGAGATACTGGAAGGTGCGAGAGGGAGAAATGTTTAAAAACCAGTAACGTGCTGTACATATGAGCTGTAATTGTCACAGTCACAGCTCTGGGATCCCATGTCAAAGATGAATTCCTTTGGCTGTAAGTAGCTTTGTTAGCCAAAAGAGGACATTCAGATGGACCCAAACCTATTTACTTTCCAGAGCTGGCTCTGCCTGCTTCATATTGCAGGGCCCCACATTGGTTGTTCAATGATGCTGGTAACTCCTGTGGGAGCTTACATCCTGCTAAGTAGTACACTGTTTAATTGAACTGACCTTTCCCGATGGTGCCCCTTGTATTAAAAGCTGCTTTACTCCCCAGTGAAAATGGTTTGATAATCATATTTTACTCAGTGAATAGTTGATGCAGATCAAGAGTGATGCAGATCAAGATAGCTGGCGCAGCTGTCAATCAAGACAGAGCTAGGAGCAGGGGCTGTGCTGCTTAAGGATGGGGGGGCACCAGCAAACCGCCTGGCTGGGGGAGGCAAGCACAGCCCAACCCAGCACAGCATGCTCTGCTTGGAGCCGAGATAAGGTGGCACAGCTTGAGTGGGACATGGGGTGGGCAAAGACATGTGCAGGAGATGCAGCAAGAGAAGGAGGCTCTCTGCAAGTGGAGTGGTGCAAGACTGCAGGGTGAAGCAGCAGCAGCAGCAATGGTGGCTAAGTATCTTAAACTGAGATGGGAAAATGGCAAAACACTTGCTTCTGTAATACAGGAATCCATTTCCCTCCAGAATGGCCTTGGGATGAAGAGGTCTTAAGCAAGAGACATGGTTTGTTGGAAGCCCCCTTCTCTCCTTGTTTTATTCCAGGCCAGTTGCCGTATCAGATGGTCATCCATCATCTGGAAGAGCTCCTTGGGGCTAGGAGCCAAGGTTGTACAAAGCAGCATATTGATGTAGACCGTTAAGCACCTGATAACAGACAATGCTTTGTAGACTGTGTTCTGCTACACTTTCCCCTTCCCAAGCACAGCAGTGTATTCATTTCCAGCACTTTTTATACAGAACTGGCATTTTGCAGGTCTCCCAGGTCAGCTTCACCTTCTCCGATTTTTCCAATGCAGGAGCAGCGATTTCATTTTCTTAGTTCAGCCAACCCTTTTCTTTCCTCTTAGTCTTAGTGTCTCAGAGCTGCAGGCATTCAAAGAATGTGCTGCTCAGTAAACTAATTTTTTTCTTGTTCTTTATTCACAAGGACATTACAGTTGTTTTCCTCTTTGTGCTAAAGATACACAGGGCAGGACAACACTTACATTTTCCTTCCCACAGTGAGGTGTTTTGACTGGTTATGTCTGCTTGAGTTCCTAGGAATGTGGGATGTGCAGGAGCTCTCATGGGCTCCTGATGCCAGGGTGCCAAGATAAGGCAGCTGGACTGTGACCTGCTGCAGATTCATGAACAACAGAGCCCCCATTGTGGCAGGATTGACCTGGGGGAGACGCCTTGACAATACCTGGGAGACACAGAGAGCACTGGGGGGACCTACACTGGCTCTGTGAAGTGGATGAGGAAACAAAAACACGCCCTCTCCAGGATGAGCCAGTAAAAGACAATGTTGCTCCAGCTTCACAAGGGCACTATACCCTTCAGCAATGTCCTGTTTCTCCCTGGTTTTGTTAGGCAGCCTTCTTAGCTATCTGGTCAAGCAGTCAGAGGCAGCTTGCTTGGCCTTTGGAGAGCAACTAGAGCTGTCCACTGCACAAGAAGGTAACTGGGTTCACCTTTACATTCTTATCTTCTCTTGCCACAGATTCAGTCTCCAAAAGGACCATAGCTGGGCCTGAAGATATACCTTTGCCTCATACTTGAACTGAGGACATCCGTCAGCATAAAAATCCTTTAAAATAAAATTAACCCAAGGAGCTAAAATTGCAGTCTAACTGCAAGAGCTCCAGCTTGATTTCATCAACTCCCCTTTGAATAGCAATTACACTGTGAACTGCTCAGTTCAAGCCTAAATCCTGTGTCTTCTTCTGATTAAATACTCATTGTCTAAACCTCCATCTTATTCTCAGTACTTAGATTTATCAATTTAATCAATCCCCCCACTATTCACCTATCTGCTTTAGCCTGCATTTTGCCACCATCATTTTTTTAGGTGATGCAAATTTGCGAAAGTTCATGTTCACTATAACTGCAAAGCAAAAACTACATCTTAGCCAGAATGTCTTCATACTCCTGTGTTTCTCGGCTTTAAAAAGAACATTTAAGCTGCCTGATGTTCACAGGGGATTACATTGAAACTTTGCACACATTCCCTCTATGCTGGCCCAAAGAAGCAAGATGCATTCAGGAAAATATAGTATTTGATGCTGGCTTGAAAAATTCATTGTTTAACCTTGTATAAGTGGTCCACAACTTCTCCCCAGACACTGAAATATTTTGTTAGTGGAGTATTTTGAAGAACTGCCTTTGAACACCAATCTAAAGACTATATAAGAACAGTGACTTTTTTCATTTGCTGTTGGTTTTACTACATGCTTTTGATAAAAATGATTACAAGGACAGTAACTTTTAATTGTGTCCTCGGTAATATTTGCCAAATGAGCCCTTCTTAAAGCTTGCTGCGCCTTGCAGACTTGTAAATTTTGGAACATTTGTTCCCAGAGGAGCATTAGCCTGTTAGAACGGACAGATTCAAAGAAAATATCATTTACCCAGCTTGAACAGATATCCTCAAAGTCACTTCAAACTGTGCATCTCCTTTTTCTTACAAGTGAGCAGTGACAATGTGATAGTGGAATATCACAGAAAAACTGAAAGGTTTATTAGCAATAGTTGCATAAAATCAAAACCAAACCTGTGCATCTTCATATGTATATCTCCCTGGGTCTTTGACATTTTGGCTTGTTTTCTCATAGCTGTGGGAATCCAGGTTGATAGCACTTTGAGCCCCAGGAGCTAGAAATTCTTGCCAGATTTCTTCCACTCTGGTGGCCACATCCTGCAGAGGTTGTTTCTTGAGATCCTGGACAGCCAACCAAAACCTGTACTAGGCAAAAATTAAAACAGGGGGAAAGAGAAAAAGAGAGAAATCTATATAAGACTTCATGGATATGCCTGGGCAGGGTCCTCAGGCACAGATATAGAGCCTAACCCCACATCTAGCTAAATTCACAGACGGCTCTCCACTTAGCACGATTTCAGGGCAAGGTGTAATATACTTTACATCAGACCTTTACACTCCGGCTAAGATCAGAACAGTGACACACAGAGAAGTGATACATTCTTATTCAAATCACCCTGCAGAGGTGTGACATTGGATATGCAAACAGGAAACCTCCAGAATCGTGCAGCCTTTCTGACTTGTAAACTGAAGAGCATTCAGATGGTTGCTGTGGGAAGAGACGAATCTTGTCATGGCCACACTCCAGTTCTAGGGGGATATTTTCTTGATTGGGCCACGCTTACAGACTAAAATACCATCATAAACATTGAGAAGATACTATCTTTGATGGCCAAGGGCATAATTTAAATCTCAACCTGTGAAACCAAACACACAGAATATTTTGCAAGACATGCATTGATTGTCTTTTACCCTAGGGAAAAGAAAAGGGTATTTTGTTGGTGGTGCCGGTATTATGTATTGCTGACAGAAATATGTTCTTTCAGGTTATCAATTCAGAAGATGCATACCCCCCAGTAGCCATTTGTTTTGGTCAACTCTACTTTCTAGCAAGAAGATACGCCCCAAGGCCTCCGCTCTGGGTGCCCAGGTCCTGCAACATGGCTGAATGGGTACAGTAGTGCTCTGTGGGGACTGCTGAGGGCTACAGGGCAAATAGGTACAGAAGGTACCTTTGCAGCCACCTGCAATAACCAGCTCTTTCCTACCCGAAGGCAAAGGAGTCCATTGCCCAGGGGTGACAAGAAGGGCAGAACTGTGCAGTGGGAACAGGGTTTGTCTGGGTCACTGCTTACTCAGGACATCTGCAAGAGCTGCACAACTTGAACAGTCCTGCTCTCCCCTTTGTCATTAAGGGAGACTACTAAATGAACCAGTTGAACTTTAACTGAAAAGTCTGATTTCCCACCCCTAATGACTTAATGGTGGCAACATGCTGGTATGCAGGCAAATGTCCCTCCATGGTGGAAGGAGGAAGATAAAAGTCTCTCCCAAACCAAAATCCCATTGGCAGTGAGGGTGGGTGGAGGAGCCAGCAGCACAGTGACTCCTGTGCTGTTTCTGACCCTTGTTTCCTTACTTTTATCAGTTCCTAACCACCGCAGAAACACTGAGGTTATTGTAATCAAATGAGGCCCCTAACCCATTTAGCTTGGTCCCCCCCTTCCTCCTGTAATAGAGGAAAACAGGCAATCTGGGAGGAAAAAAACATCTTCACTGGATGCAAGGACAGGTTCAATTCTCCTAGCCTGTCCTCTGCTCTTCCCCTACCAGGCCTAATGCCACAGCCCTGACTCCGCCAAGTCACTTGATTGTATTCCTTCATATGGTTTACCCTGCTCCGTGGTAGGCTGTCAGTAAAATGGAGTGGGGTATGCTCAGACACTGTATCAGCACCTGTGAAGTCCCATACTAGTGGTGCTCACACATTAGCATTTGGTTTTATAAACTGAAATAGAGTATTTAGGGTTGGCAGAGGGGTGTGCACGGTTGACCCTTTTCTACTTCCATGTTCATTAGGTGCACCTGATGTCCTGCCCTGTTATTTGAGCCATAAGTGACGCCCTCACTTATCGCATGCACACAGAGAATAAAGGGTGGTGCACTCAGTGCAACAGTCTGATGCCATATGTGGCTTTCTTTACTTGGAAAATATTTTATCTTCCAATTTCAGATGCCATGGGAACATGTGAATGCAGAAAAGGCACACAGAGAAAAGATGCTAATCGTTCCAGAGTAGCTGGGACATTTCAGACAAACACTTGGCTAAAGAGAACATTTTCTGCTGGCTTATCTTCTGCCCCTGGAGCTGGGGAGGCGGGCTGGGAAAGCACACTCATGAGAGAACAGGGTGCGCTGTGAAGTGACAGCTTGCCAGAACAGGAGCACCATCCATTTTAATAACCATTTGGCTCAATCTGAAAACCAACCAACCAGACCAACCTGACACTAACAAGAACAAGCTCTTTTTACTGCAAGCGATTGCAAATTCATGCCCAAGGCTGGATGTCCTCTTCAAGGCAAAGGGGAGTTTTGTCTTGGTAAAAATTTCAAAGCTGTTCACTACAGCTGGTATCTGAAAATCGAGGAACATCAAAGAGGAGTACTCAGCCCCGCAGCCTCAACTCCAAGGCAAATTCTGTGCCACAAGGAATCATCCTGAAGCCAGTGCCTAAGCAGGGCATCGCTATCAGATTTGTACAGCTTTTACATGAGAGAAGCAGGTATTTCTTCCCAGGAAAGGAGCAGACACACGATGGCTGTGCTGGAATTTGTGCTTAATTATATTCCCTGAGTCAGATCCACAATTTCTGAAGCACAAGGCCAGCCCCATGTTCACAAGGCGTCAGAAGATCCTACATTGCCTCCTCCCGTTCTCTGGGAGGCAGATCTCCAGTGGATTCTTCTGGCACAGGGAAGGGGAGGAGCGAGATGTCCTCCTGTGTCCTCTCTGCAGGTGCCCTATAAGGGCAGCAGGACTGGCACAGGGACTGTCTGCACAGAGAGAACAGCAGCATTGATCACAGGTTCTTTGCCTTTTATCAAACAGCATGTAAGCTCTGGAGAAGGTTGATAATATGGAGTTCTAAACTGTTGTCAGAGGAATAAACCATTCCAGCCTCATCCAGCTTTTAATTAAGCTGCTGTCATTTGCAGAAGATATCCCATAATGACACTTTTTCCTATGCAGCCCTTCAAGGCAAAGAGAGCTCCTGGGCCTCAGTGTGCCTGCTCTGCCTCCCCACAAGGCACTGCAGAAGCCCTGTCATGAAAAGGCTGCTGGGGAAGGGCAGGAGGCTGCTTCTGAAGTAGGTTGTAAAAGATTTCATTTCAACACCTGATGAAGAGACTGAGGAACAACTGTCGACACAAGGACAGTGTCGTATCCCCATCATTGAGGAGGACACAATACTCCTGGCTTGTCAGTGAAATCCCCAAGTGACTGAGCCTAGAACACGAACGCAGTCACCTCCTTGCCTCAGTGGCTCCATGCAAGTATCTGGTGCACCTCCTGTCTCACATCTCCAGCCATTCACAATCTTGCTCCCACTACCTTTCACTGAGAGAAAAAATACCATTTTAACATCACAGGTGGGAGGGGAAATGAATGAAAGTAATAGGTATAAATCAACACGTGGTTCTGACCTGTGTAACACACAGTTACACCTGTGTGTTGCTGAACAGCCAGACCCTTGGTACAGTGAGCTGCACTCTGTCCTCCAAGGAGCACACTGGGGACAGATGCCTGCAGCGAGACTGCGTGCTCAGGACACAGTCCTTTACTAGCACCGCATTGCCCAGGTGACCACGGTGTGAGGGCGCGCGACAGCTGCCCTCCGACTGGCCACCTCCAAACTCTTAAGCCCCTCTTCCTGCTGCCTTTTAGCTCTCTGTCTGGGTCGGGAGATGCCCATTTGCTCACGAGCGGCGGCCGGCTCGGGCTGACGAGGGCCCCTCACCGCTGGCAGCGCCACCCGGCCCCGGCCCGCCCGCGCCCGCTCCGCCGCGGAGCAGCGGCGCCGCCTGCTGTCCAGGCGGGCAGGAGCCCTGCCGCCCTGCTCCGGCGGTGCGATAGATGCATCCCCACCGGGACCCCCCTAAGATGACCCCCGACCCCCCCGCACACACGGTGACACTCGCACAGAGCCCCGTTCGACCAGCCCGAATGCTCAGTGCTCTGCCTGCCCTTTGGGAGGCTTTGGAAGTGGTTGGAAACTTCCTCTGTAAATGGTTTTTATTAGGGAAAGGGCTTGGGGTGGGTTTTGCTTAAGATACATGCTCTCCTCAAGGCCATAACTTTTCCTTTCCTAATAAAGGCCAAAAAGAATTTTTAAAAATTGGCAACAAGTTGCAGCCATCAGGGATCATGTAAGAAATAAACCTTTTCTGTAGGTAAAGTCCTTTTCTGGATAACTCTGGTTTGAACATATGTGCACAATAACATATAAAACTCCTCCATTTGTGCACTGCAAGCTTTGCCATGCATTCCTATGCAGTGTCATGTGTTCTCTATTTAGGTCTATAAACAGGTGTGCAATCTGCCTCCCCTTTGGGTAAAATTCCCATGTCCCATATTCCCACTTAGTTGTTTCTCTTTCCAGCTGACACTCTTTGAAGCTGGGGGGAAAAAAAACACCCAATCAATCCACCAGATAGATGAACATCTCAGCAATCTTGAGATGTCTCAGGAGATTTCCAGGTCATAAAAATGTAAAACAACTCCCTGTTGGCCTTTTTTTTTTTTCCTTTCTTTTCTTTTTTTTTTTTTTTAATTGAAGCTTGGCATTTTGTCTGCTCTATTTTGGGTACTTCAAAAACCAACAGAGTCAAAACAAATTGTAGATGAAAGATAGCAATGGAGAGGAGAAAGAAAAGAGCGCAAGAAAAAGAGTTAAAATGAAAACAGAGAGAAAAAATACCCAACCAACTGGTTTCCCTGCTCTCACATAAATAATGGACAGCCAGTAAATAAGTAAGTTACAGGGCTCAGCTGAGCCCAGGAGACTTGGTGGACATGATCCTGCAAGTTTATTAGAACACAGAAACACAGCTGGAAGGACACCCGGGAGGTCAGCGAGTCCAGTCTGCTGCTATCTCTGGCAGTGCCTCACTCAAGATCCACACTGGGACCAATTTTTCTCAGCCAGGAAGATATGGAAATACCTCACCACAGTCAACCTGTGATCTGGGACTTCCACCATTGAGTACAAGAGCAGAATTTGGTCCCCTTGCCATAGCAGGAATTACATTAATGTCAAGGCATTCTTAACCGCATGCTTCATGGAATCTTTTCTAGCACTACCAGGAATTTTTAGACTTTCCAGCAGTTTCTCAGATCTGCCTTGAAGACACCACGGGTCTCCAGGACTCCTGTCAGTGTTAATGAAGATCCTCCTGACACTCCCAGAAGAGTGCTGAAGCAGGTCCCAAATCTCTGCATAATAACTGGGAGGAAAGTCCTTAATCAATAACTGCAAATATGCTATATGCTGTGCTCCCAAAAGTTCCTTACAGCTTCCCAGGGTTTGGGCAGGATCCATCTCACTTAACTGTAGATATCTACCATGCAGAAGCTATAATTTGAATCAGTCTCTCGAGGCTTATAGGTGGTAGATAGGGATGGGTGCTTTACAGAATAATTTAGGTGCTTTTAGTTTTGTTTGCACTTAAAGCTGAAAAAAATCCTTCCTGGATGATTCACTGACTCCTCTTCAGCTTCCCTCCTTGAACTCTAAAAGGACAGTAGATGATACAGAAGAAAGCACATGCTTCCAACTTGCCAACTTAGGAGACACAAACCCCAACTTTGCTCTTGGGTGTAATTTAAATTTTGCCTGCATGTCAAAGAACTCAGCAATTGCTTTCCTTTCTCTCACACATGCCTAATGAGAATTCAGGAGCTTTCTCCACCACACCTGAACCCCGGAGAGCCACCTTCTGCACTCTAGCACCACTGCTAATGATCCATGCTGTTCCAGTTTTCTTCATTAATATTTCTGCTTTTACATCCTTTTGTTATTTAAAGCTTTAAGCAGCTTGCTAATACTGATCCAGTATCAGACAATAACGATACCACATAAGGCAATACCATGTTAAGGACACTGTAAGAATGATAGCAATGTTCCCATATTATACCACTATCTCCCAAGAAGGATGTGGGATTTAAACTCTAACCCAGCCCCCTGACTTGCAGTCTCCCTTTGCTACAAGCCATCTCAAACCCAAAGAGAACGTCCGTCAGCAGGAGGAGCAGCTCTGCGACCAAGGAAGGTAAATGCTTGCCTTCTCTTTCTCTATTTGAGTAGTAGCAATGTGGGGGACACATGCCACAAAACCTGTCATAAAACCTGATGGATTTCATTAGCACAACCCCAGACATATTTCAGAAAACCCATTTGAGGAGTATTTCAATGCAGTATATTAATTTTGCACTTCATCACTACAACTGAATTGCAAATGAGCACCACTGTACCTAAGTGCAGTTAACATATATGAGCTCAGCAATAAAATTTCAAGCTCATTTATGTAATTTAGTAACACTCCCTTGTTTATCTCACAAGTTAACTCTCAGGTTTTTAAAAATAACAAACAATGGTGCCTTGATTTTTCAGTTTTGCTGCTGGCATGTTCCCTGTATTTCTCTCTGGACAGGCAAATCTGATAAATAGGATGGTCAGTTACAATGTCATTTACAGTCACTTTCTGGGGAATTTCCCTTTCAGAACTCACAAGCTAGTGGACTGCACTGGGGTGGGTGATTGTTCACATGCTTTACTAATGTATTTGATTTTTCTAAGCAAAAAACCCCAACAAACCAAAACAAAACATGAACTTAAAAGGCCATACAGTCAAGCTCTTAGTTGGTGTAAAGTCAGAACAACATCAAACCAGCTCAGTACCAGTAAAGACCAAAACCCAACTGACCGCCTGCTCAGTTACAGCAGGTTTCCTCATCTGGGGAGCAGGCTCGTTTTGCCAGTGAAATTGTGAGCTCTCTGGCCATTCCTGCCAATGATAACTGGGCCTCGGGGAACAGGAGTGCCCCAAAGGACTGGTCCCTGTGCTCATGCATGTGCTGAGAGGGCACCAGAGCACCATGAACAAGCCTCTGCAATGTAATTCAGGCTCTATAAAACAAATGGGTTTTTGTGGATACTGCCACGTCTAGGGCAGTCAAATTACATTACTGTCAGATCCTTCTGTGTCTCCAGGACTAATGAGGGGAAGAAGCAGGTGAGGACTGTTGCAGTTATCTCTGTAGTGCCTCTGACCTGCTGTACCTCAGTCACAGAGCAAGGTGAAGGGCCTTACATACAAGAGTACAAGAGCACACACTGGCACCCTGACACCAACTCAAACCCTCACTGGCAGCACAGGCTGGTGGCTGCAGCCTGCCCTGCTGCAAACCACCTGGCTGCTAAACCACCATCTTCCTGCTCCTGCACAAATGGGTGAATGTGGCAGTAAATCTGGTTGTCACATACAGGTGAGGATCTGAACTGTAACTCCAGCCGCTGAGTATCAAACTCTACCTGTTTGTTCAGACGGTATCTCTGGCTGGTACAAACCCTCTCCTATTTTCTTTGGACCTTGCAGCCCCAGCCCTGTTCCAAGCATAATCCTGAGGACCTCAGTTTCTCAGAGCTCACTGCAGTGCATTTGCTTCTGTTACGGGACCTACTGTGGCTTGGTTGTATCTGCATCGCCCTCTCCACAGCAAGAGAGCTGCTTTCCCTAAGATGAACTACTTGTTTAGGGTTGGAATTAGAGTTAGGATTCAAGACAAGGATTATAAAACCTGTGGCTGTATCCTGACTAATTCTAGGGCAAGCAGGGGACTCAGATCCTCGCTATGTAGACAGGGCTGAGTTTAGCTTAGTGCCTCTGGGAGTATCTAGCTACACCTCTCTTTTTCTGTCAGTATGAGAAGATAACTGGTATCAATAAAGGCAAATGACTTAATTCATTAGTTCTGGAGTATGTAGGGGTGACAAATGAATCCTAAGATGCTGACTTTAGCACTTAGTTTTGCAGCTGTGCGGACTGAAGAAACAGGCATGCCCTTTGAAGAATTGAAGCATGCTGTTGGCACTTCCAGTGTCTTTTCATCAGTTCTCCAATGGGACTGTATCTTGGAGCAATGTGTTAGGGACAGAGATTGGGTTTAGAACAGTATTATGGATAAGGCCAGAGGGGCTGGACCTTCTAGGAAAGGTTTTGTCTTCATCTAGTGTTAGTTCACAAAAAAAATTGGCAACTACTTCTGCCTAGTCCTGCTGTAGTTGAGGCAGCAGAATTGTGCACAATAGATTTATAGACTCTCAGTCTGATGTAGGATTGTGTGGGTGTCTGCATAATGCTTCATAATAGAAGTTTTCTCTTCCAAACAACATAAGAAGCCAAGTACTTGGAATCCCCACACAGAGAGAGTGCTATTAAGGTGAGAATCAAGCTCTCAGATACTTGGGAGGTGCCAGAATTAAAACTAGTTATTCCAAACCTGATTTAGTGAGTGCCAGTACTGCAACAGGTTTTAGCCACATGATCACCATACTGTTTCCCTTACATGACCTCTGACATAAATGCATATGTAAATCCTATATATTATTAGGGGGCTTAATAGCACTATTAATAGCTTTGTCTCACCACATTATTACAATTTTGCAAGCCTTTTCCACATGCTGCTTGACAGCACTGGCTCTGCTAAACACTGTTCCTGAGTCTACTGACATAGTTCTGGTATAGGCATCTATAGCAGTGCTATGGGCCAAATCTTGCCATTCTCAGCTTGATTCAAATGGGCATTTTTAGCAGTTCAAGATAGAGAAAGCATTGCATTTCACCTATGCAAGAGAGTAGGATTTGTCCCATTCATTTAGTTCAAGTCAAAAAAGAAAAAAAAAGATTTTACCTCAGGTTTTCGGAGCTGAATTCTGATTCCAGGAAACGAAGGAACTGGTCTCGTCCTACTGGGTCCTTCAGCACCTCATCCATGGAGAAACCCCATCTTTTCACACGCTGCTGACTAGGTTCTTTGCTGTTTGGAAAGAAAAGGGAAAAGCCAGATGGAATGTGCATTTCTGCCTGCTGTCCAAGCAGCTGCTGCTGTTTCTGTTAAGCAGCAAAGGGAGGAAGATCATCAGATGAGATGGTGGGGGTTTTTTTCTTAGGATTTTGCAGAACTACAACTTAGCAAATAACACACAAAGGAAGCTATAAAGACCAGGGCCATCATTAAAGCAACTGTACTATTTGGGTGCTACGTATAAGGCTAATGAGAGAAATAGTGAATGATATGCAGAGTAATTTCTAGTAGTTTTCATGTGAAGAACAGCACATCATACTTGAATAATTATTCATTACACAATTCTCACATATCTCCTAAATGTATCCTGGGATTTCTTGTATGTCAAGGCAGAAATTTGCCAGGAATGTTCCTCTCACTGCTGGTATGCTCCAGAGGGTCTCGTTGTGTCCCACACAGTGCTGGCTGGTCACTTGGAATTGGCTTCAGACTTTCAGTTCCACATTTGCATTAAAAAAGCAGTTATACTAAGAAGCAGTACAGATAAGGTTTCTAAAAATGATTACTGGTTTGTGGTATTTTATTTTTCAGTGCCTCTGATTTTTGGATGCCTAAGTCTTGAAAGACTAAAAAGCCTTCTACTCTCCATGTTAATCAGAGTCTTATTTTGTATCTCAGCTGGGACACTGAGATGCAAGGCACCCAAAATCACTAAAAATATTTCTCCTGAATTATTTCTTAATGCATTCCCACTTACATAAGCCATTGTGTGAATTGCCAGACATGTTGCAGAGATGCCTATGGGGAGAGGCAATGCCTGGGAATCACAAGGATCGTATGAGACAGTCCACATCAGAGCATAATCTGGCTCACAAAGTGTTTGAAAGCTTCTGGTGTGATGGCATCATACTACGAGACAACCATTAAAATACAGCTCAGCTGCTCACATTTGTGACAGTGGAGCCATTGTTAACAGTACATATCTATTAAACTACATGTCCCATCATGTCCACAGTGATTCCTAATCCCAGAGCCTTAGGGGACAGTGGCGATCTGTGCTGAAGACCAAATAAGCCAAAGGGGTAAATAAAATGCCTGCTTTGATTTCCTTTTGGTGTAAAGACTAAGCAAAATTGATGGGCATGTCCTCACTTGAAGTGCAGAGCACTCAGGATGGCTCCTTCTGCACTCTCCCAGGAGCCAGCACTGCAGATGCCAGCCTACCTGTTAAATGAGCCAGCCTGGACATGGGGACATGAAAGCCATGAATTTCCTGCTGAATCCAGAGATTAGTTGCTGCTCTTCTTGCTGCTGCACAATGTTTGAGCATGAAAAAAACCCTCACCAATGCACTGTCTAAAATGGAAAGCTTTCCATGGTGTTTTCTGAATCCAAAATGCCACAAAGGATGAACTGCAGTGGCACAGGGCTGTCCATACTCAGCAGCCTGTCTTATTAGAAGTGATAGGTTCTTTGTTTTCTTGAGCAAAGGCTCTGCTCTCCTAACTGAGGAAACAGCTTAGCAGGCAACGCAAAGGGATCTCAGGAATCATTTAATTATTCATCAAGTTGGAACTATATGCAGATGCAGTGAGTTCTTTTACAATAGGGAATAAAATAGAAATACAGAGCTGTTTATTCTTCTATCTTCCAACAATACAACTTTCTCTTTTTTCATCAGCAGAATAATCACCTTCCTTAACCCTTAAATCATAGCAGAAGCCAAGCATTTATTTTAAATTCCTGTAAAGGCCATGACATCAGGCTAATTGTATTCTTCAGGGACATGGACATCTTTTCTGGGATTTCCAGCTACCTCAACAGATGCAAAAATAATGGATGCCTGAACTATTTTGTGGGTCAGGGTTCCTACAGAGGTGTATTTTGCAGGGACTGTATCTGGTTCTAGCCCTGCTGGGGAGGATGGAGAAAAGGAGAGATACTGCCTAAATAGGAAATCTAAGATACTAAAATGATATGAAGAGGGGCAGAGATTATGAAACTAATGGATTTCTGTGACTACCAGAAAAACAGGTGAAAATCTTTCACATCCTAGACCACGTGGTTTTTAAACAGGGAAAAACTTGCCCTTTTCCTGGAACACTGTTTCACTGTGAATTTGCTTTCTTAGGCTGGTAGCATCTTCAAGTTTACAATATTATTCAAAACCAGACAGGATTAATTTGGCATTCTCTTTTCAAAGAAGAAAAGTCCCAGTTCAGATTTGGTGCTGAACAGCAGCAAACGAGAAGCCACTGAACACTTGCAGTAGGTGGCCACAGGATGCAAGTGAGCAGTCATGGTGATACATAGCATGGCGATTCCATTCAAACCTGCTGTGATAGCTGCTAGGCAAAAGGGCAGGCAGGACAATTTTACTTCCACTACAAGGATGTGGGTAGCCTGTGATACCAAGAGATGTAGACACTGGGCAGACTTCCCTTGCACCAGCACCTCATGGGCAAAAGATGACCTAAATTGCAGTGCTGTGCTTGTTTTTTTTTTTGGAGAAACTCTCTGAGGTGCCAGACACTGGAGTTCCTACAGTCTTTCAATATCCTTTTCATCTATTAGACACCATAACAGAGACAGGCCAGCTTGTTCACTAACAGGTGTGGCCTCAACTCACTTTGTTAATCTATTATAATTCTGACCTGCTAGGTCTCATACATTATGTGTGACCTAAACTCCTCTGGCTCCTGTGTCAGATACAGCTCTGCACAGCAGGAATGGCCACTGCCCTATAACCTGTCCCGTATTTTTCATGGGACCCCAGGACAGGAGCAGGGCTGAAGCACCACAGCAGAAGGAGGATCAGAGAGAAGGATCTCAAGGGTCGAAGGAAATGTGCTGGAACAGATATCTTTTAACAGTGTCTTATCTGTGGACTCTTAAGACCTGAGTCTGCGTGTCTTAAACAGGCATGAGAATGTCTGTTACCTGACTTACAGCATTTCACACATTAAGTCATATGGTAGTGGAAAGGCTGAATAATTCCCAGAAGTGATAAAGCATAAGCTCCTGTTTAAACTTTAACTATGTACTCGTATCTTGTCAAGCCACAGATATACAACTTCCTACCCAAATAGAGCAGTGGGGAAACAAAGCAAACAAAATGGCAAGACAACTCTAAAATTACTTAAAACTACCAATTCTTACCTCATTTCAATGTCCCACAATGCTGCATCATCACTTATCCAGGGATTGGAAGGCTCAGCAGGTGTTATAAAGGGGTCGTATTCCACATACTGCTCCGTGTAGGCTATTAAACTGGCAGGTATAAAAAAAGAAAAGAAAAAAAGAGAAAAGAATCAAAAAGAATCAGGGCCTGAATGCTCAGTCACACATCAGAGAGGCACAGCTTTGCCTCTCTTCTTTTTATTTGTTTCCTTTTATTTTTGTAGGGATTAGCCAGTTTCTCAGCCACCACAGGAGTCCCATTTCCCAGGGATGATGCAGGCCAGGATTTCTCTGCAAACACCCACCAGCTCACTGCAGGATGTTCCTCAAGCTTGCCTCTGCCCACAAAGAGCCCCATGAAGCAATAACTGGATTGCTAAGGTAGGATTTCCCCCCGAGAGCCAAGGGATGACTATGAAATGCGTGTCCTGTTCATTTACTCGGTGTTGCTATTGCCTCTTGCTTTTTTGGTTTTTGCACACTTTTGTACCCACTTAACATTATGTGTTATGAGCAACACATCTAAATAGGGTCATGGGCTGTAGCTAATATACCTATATCTTCTGGGGTTCACAGACCTGAGCATCAAAACTTCAGGCTGTAGATCTTTGTTTTTTTTTGTTACTTTGGTATACCATTTAGTCTAACGGCATTATTATAAAACAATTCAATGGCAGTTTATAATAGTTAACTTAGGATACAGTAAATTATTTGCATGCTGGAAAAACACCTGTTTTTTCTACTGGCCTCTTTCATAATGAGTCAGGTAAGACATATAGTGTCCAATCCTCACTAGGATGGGATTCAAAGAGCTTTCTGTGTCTGCTTGCATAAGTGATTTCAGGAATTCCACTGGGGCTGGGGCTAGGGGCACTTTTTTACAAAAGAAAGACAGCATATATAAAATAAACCAAAAGAAATTTATCCTAGTCTATACTGGAAATACTCTAAGGCACTTCTTAATTTTTTTGCCTAGGCCTGCCAAGTAATTAACTAAGTTAATTGAGTCTCATCAAACTGAACAACTAATCTACTTGCACTGTGACTGTCCATGCTAAACTTTACCTCTGGTCTTCAGTATCTCAAAAAGGCAGAATGAAAAGACTCTGTAAAACAAAGGGTCGCAAAAGGCAGAAAGTTTCCCTGACCTGCTCTACAGTAATTATTTCTTTTTGTTTGTCCTAGCTCTTATCATGAGGCATTAAAATCATACATTTTTGTAACCACAGCAGGTTCCCATTGCCCCTCAGGGCACTGAGGGCTGTCTCATCTCATTTCATTAATTACATTTCATGACCGCTGTGGGTCAAGGGTTGGAGGAAGGAGCAGCGTCCAATTTCAGAGAGCAGCAGCAATCCCTGAGACATCAATGAGAGAGAGGGTTGCTTAAAAAAAAACCAACAAAAGGGATCAATCAGGAGGTATCTGCTGTGAAATCTGAGTTACTCCTAATAAAATAATAAGAAGGCATCAGAGGTGCTAGTACAAGTACTAGCAAAAATAAAAGGGGAAAAACTAAATTAAATGAAACAAGGGGGAATTGCTAAGCACACTTTGCTGATTCAGTATAATGACAGCAGCAGAATCATTGTCTCATTGTCTAATGGAAGCTACAGGAGGGGGACTCCTATGGGGAAAAAGCATTTCTGACAAAATGCAGACCTGGGCTTTTGGGTTTTAAGGTGATGCACTGTAATTCTGTTAGAAGAGGTGGTGGGAAGAGTTCACTAAAGGGGCAGAGCTTGCCTGAAGAAGCCAGGTGTCTCACAATGAGGGGGCTCTGTTCAGCCTTTACAGTAACTTTGAGGATCTGAAAGGATAACACAGATTTTCATCTAGGGAACTGAGATTGCTTCTGGTAGGAAAATGCTCCAATGCCCCAATTTTCCCACCCATTTCTGTGATGCCACATGTAGCAGAATTGTATTAATGCTGCACAATGCAGTCAGGGAAAAGAGTAGGTAGAATATATTGATCATTCTGCTCAACAGTTCTCAAACCTTATTGCTAAACCCTAAACCTGAAAGTGTGCAGGTGTCAAGTGAGAGAGGATGTGGAAGAAAGGAGAAGAAAGGAGAAGAAAACAGTTTCTAAGGTGCCTAGCGTGGCTGAGGGATTCCTGCTCCCACAGTTGGTACAGATCTACTCTTGGAAGGAAAACAGGAAGGGGGGGGAAGTAAATCTTTAGGACTGGGCATGGATACTTCATAGGAGCTGGGATAACCTATTGAGAGTCTTTCCGTTCCTCTTCTACTGAACAAAGGCTCTCCCATAGAATAGCTTGCATTAATAGAAAATGCATGTGATTGGTCTATCACTATTACAATACTTTACACCTTATTCCTACAACATATTAGAAAGCAGCTTGTTTCCCCACCACCCCCTGCCTTATTTTCTCCTCGTTACTTTCCTCATCCTGCCTGAAAATGCCTTTGTGCTGTACTGAAAGAAATGGCAGGTGACGCCACTGTCAGGCTTGGCTGTTGAAAGGACCATGCCAATAAATCATCTCTTGCTCCCCTGATCTGCCACACTGCCACTTAAGCTAGTCCTGAAAGCAGGGTCCAGCCTGAAAAGTGACTTGCTAATAACAGCACCTCCTCACACAGCAGATTTGTTCCTGGAAGTTTTATTCAGCGCTTTACATTGGGCTTTCAGGCTGCACAGGTTTTTATTTCAGGCACCTGTTCAACTCGGGTCATCCGTATTCATTCCTTCTCACCTATCCCAACCCCTGCCAAGCCACTGGACCCATCAGTCCACCTGTTTCTCTCCTGCCTGCTCTATGATGCTCCACATCCAGGCTGCGCCTCCCACCACTCTTTGCACCAAGACCTGGGACCATCGAGCAATGCTGCCACCCAAATGTCAGCACATAACCACTTCTTCACAAGATATAAATATCACAGCCATGATTTTCATTCTTTATAATTTCAAATAAAACTTTCAAAACAAAATAAAAGAACTTCTTGATTATTCTCATTTTATTTAGTTTTATCCTGGCTATCAATGTGATAGGTTTCGATAGCAACATTTTCTTCTCCAATTTGGGACCAATAAAAAAACCCCACCAAAGCCCTTTCAAATCAGGAAAAAATTCTGTCCAATTTTATTGAAAACGAATATTTTTTATTTTTTTTTTAACATTGACATTACATTTATAAGGTCAGTAGCTTCTATGAACTTGAGCAACAGGTCTGTTATGTGAATGGACTTTGATGAATAGGAATGAATGAATTTTATTGAGTCCCTCTTATTGAATAAATACCTACATAGAAAAAAATCAAGCAAACCAAATCTGCTTGCTAGTAAATTACCAGCCTGGAAATTATTACTGTCTCAGTATATTGAGGTCATTGTAGGTAAACTCAGTACAAAATTACTTTTTTTTTGGTGAAGCACAAATGTATCTTCCTAATGAAAAAGAACCAGAAAGCCCAGAACATAAATATGAACATGCTAATTTCAATGATACAGTATCATGAATTCAGGATTTCAAAGAGCCTCTGAATATTTTCTATTTAATTGGATAAATTTTTGTTTTAATTATTAAACTTCATAAGCCAATAGGAATCTACTTTGTGGTTCTTGCCATTTAATTTGCTTATTTTAGTACACACGTGCTAATTACAGATGTGAGCACTGCAATGCACATTTCATAGGGTAATCTCTTTTTAACTTGCTTAAATAAAAAATACTCTATTATTTTATTTTGCCTCTAGAAGGCAAAATAAATATTATTTTATTATGCCTCTAGAAGGCACCAGCCCTTATCATATCCTTCATGTCCACCACGGTTTTGTTCTAAAAGCGATGTTACTGAAGAGCGTGTCAATCCCTGTGCTTGTCTCAGTGATTCCTCTTCAAATGCGCATAACTTGAAAGTACCTGAGGAGCTGTTACTCTCAATTAAATTTGAGCTTCTTCTTTACCTGTTCACATTTTCTGACCAGAATTAAATATTCTGCAAGTCAAATAGTGACTTAATTTGCCTCTATGAGAAATCAACCTCTTAAAACACTGCTGTGAGTAGTCCAGGTACAACCCCAGTACCTCCCATAGGGTTCCATATATGTAAATGGGAGCAGAAACTGGCCCTACAACTCCCGTATGAATATGGACATGAACACCACTTGCAACAAGGTGCAAATGCAGCTCCTTCCCCAGATCTGTGGGAGGCTAACAAGAGCTGAGCTCTGAGGGTTCATCCACACAAGAAAAAAGGGAATTTTCCAATTGAAACAGGAATGACTTTTCTGTAAATAAACTCTAGGGTTGTGAAGGAGTGGGAAACGAAAGTACTACAACTGTTCTTCCTTTTGTGAATAATATTTCTTTTGCCTTTACAGTATGACTGTCCACTCTCTATTGCTGGAAATACTAAACCGGGCACGAGAAATTAATGGGAAATCATGCAAACATGACACTCACCTTTCTGCTACTTTGGACATCTTTAAACAATGTCTCTCTATCTGCATGTTCAGAAAAGTTATCTGAGGAGAGATATGACAAGGACATCAACAATCAAAGAGCTCTAGAGCATACATTGATCATATCCCAACAAACTATTGATTTTTGTTTCCAAACAGCTTAGAAGCAACTCAGAAGGAAATGGGACCCTTCCCTTGGTATTAGAGAAAGCTTATTAACTGCTTCCAATAGGAGTCTCCATTTTCTATGGCAGAGGCCCAGGGAAAGCTTCAGATAAAAGCCTTCTTCAGCTCAGAAAACTTAGGGCCCAGTTAGAACTGAGTCTGACCAGGAATGTCAAAAATAACAGGAAAGGCTTCTATAAGTAGGTCACAAACAAAAGACAGACTAAGGATAAGGTGGGCCCTATCTGTAAGGAAACAGAGAACTGGCTACCTTTGATTTTGGAGAAAGTTGAGGATCTCAATGACTTCTTTGTCTCAGACTTCACTGGCAAGTGCTCTGACCACACCACCCAAGTCTTGCCCACTGTAGGAGAGGATCTGGTTTGAGACCATCTTAAAAACCTGAACGTGCACAAGTCCATGGGACCTGATGAAATCCATCCATGCATCCCGAAGGAGCTGGTGAATGAAGTTGCTAAGCCGCTGTCCGTCATATTTGAAAAATCATGGCAGTCAGGTGAAGTTCCCGATGACTGGAAAAACGGAACTATAACCCCCATTTTCAAGAAAGGGAAAATGGATGACCCAGGGAATTACAGACCAGTCAGTCTCACCTCTGTGCCTGGCAAAATCTTGGAGCAGATTCTCCTGGAAGGCATGCTAAGGCACATGAAAAACAAGGTGCTTGGTGACAGCCAACATGGCTTCACTAAGGGGAAATCCTGCCTGACCAATTTGGTGGTCTTCTATGATGGGGCTACAGAACTGATGGACAGGGGTAGAGCAGTTGATGTCATCTACCTGGACTTGTGCAAAACCTTTGACACTGTCCTGCAGGACATCCTTGTCTCTAATTTGGAGAGTCATCAGTTTGATAGGTGAACCACTCGGTGGATAAAGAACTGGCTGGATGGCCACACGCAAGGGGCTGGCGTCTCCAATTGGAGACCAGTAACGAGTGGTGTCCCTCAGGGATCGGTGTTGGGACCAATCTTGTTCAGCATCTTTGTTGGTGACATGGACAGTGGGGTTGAGTGCACCCTCAGCAAGTTTGCCAATGACACCAAGCTGTGTAGTTCGGCTGATATGCTGGAGGGAAGGAATGCCATCCAGAGGGACATCAACACGCTTGTGAGGTGGGCTGATGCCAACCTCATGAAGTTTAACCATGACAAGTGCAAGGTCCTAAACCTGGGTTGGAGCAATCCCAGGCACAGCTACAGGTTGAGCAGAGAAGACATTCAGAGCAGCCCTGCAGAGAAGAACTTCGGGGTGTCGGCTGATGAGAAACTGAACATGAGCCGGCTTCAGTGTTCACTCGCAGCTCAGAAACAAAGTGTAATGGGCTGCATCGAAAGGAGCGTGACCAGCAGGTTGAAGGTGGTTATCCTGCCCCTCTACTCTGCCCTCGTGAGACCCTGCTTAAAGTATTCTGTGCAGTTCTGGTGTCCTCAACGTAAGAACATGGAGCTGTTGGAGGAAGTCCAGAGGAGGCCATGGTGATGTTCAGGGGGCTGGATCATCTCCCGTATGAAGACAGGCTGAGAAAGCTGGGGTTGTTCAGCCTGGAGAAGAGAAGGCTGCATGGAGACCTCATAGCAGCCTTCCAGTATCTGAAAGGAGCCTACAAGGATGCTGAGGTTAGACTCTTCATTAAGGACTGTAGTGATAGGACAAGGGGTAATGGGTTCAAACTTTAACACGGGAAGTTTAGATTGGCTATAAGAAGGAAGTTCTTTACTATGAGTGTGGTGAGGCACTGGAATGGGTTGCCAAAGGAAGTTGTGAATGCTCCATCTCTGGTGGTGTTCAAGGCTGGGTTGACAGAGCCTTGGCTGACATGTGAGGAGTCCCTGCCCATGGCAGGAAAGTTGGAACTACATCTTAAGGTCCTTTCCAATCCTAACTGTTCTGTGATTCTAAGGCATTATTAAAAGCAGGCAAGGCCCGTATTTGGGACCGACATCTGTAGACTACTCAGTATGCAATATGATCCCCTTTTTATACCACACTCTTCATTTCTCTGACTGGCATCACAAGACCAATAACAGTTTTTTATCACATTTTCACTCTGCTATGAGCCACTTCTTCACAGTACTATGCAGCCTATGTTGGCAATGATGGAAAAAGCTCAAGCAATTTTGTGTTCAGTTTTAATTCAGAAGACCTCCCTAAAACTGGCTAAGAAACATGTTCAAAGCTGCCTTTGCTAAAATGCTGACCTAGCGATTCCTGCTTGTGCTTCAGTGAGCGCTGCTTGTTGCAGGAGAGGAATTTTGAGGCAGAGCTCCCTGTGTCGGGGCAAGGATGTGTGAGTCGGCTGGCTGCTCCTTGGAATGATTGTGCAAATAACTTCTTCCTAGTTCCCTAAAAGCTCTGACTGTACAGTCTAACAATAATGCACTGAACAATGCCATCTTCAGCCTGTGCTCCAGAATGCTGGCTTCTTCCCTAGCCTATGTCAGTGCCCACTTTTTAGATATCCTCAGTGAACCTGAATCTGTACACTGGTCCACAGACAGAATAGTAGTCAATTCAAAAGTTAGTATTACTCATAAGCCATATTATCATAGAATTACTTTAGTCTTTAAATACTTACTGCTTTACCCGAAGCGTGTGAGGATCAAGGACAGGTAAAGCATAAAATTGGTTTTGCTGATCTCGGTAGCTTTACGTGCTTTTTTTTCCCCTTCAGATAACAGTTCTCAGAAGAGCAGCCATACAGCCATCTACTTACTTGTTTCCGGAAATCCTCTTTTGTAGTTTTGCGTACAGGTTGGGAGGGCACATGTACAGGGCTTTGGGGCTGAGACTCCTCTGTAACCCCATATACTGACTGTGAGGAACCAATAAATAAACAGAACAGAAATTACAGAATTTTTCTCTATTAGCAATGATGAAAAGTGCAGTATGCAAAACAGTGAGGTAACAAATCAGCAATTTCCCACCTGATTATCGACCTGTGTTTATCTCCACCCAGGTCAATAATCAGTCAGCCTGGAGCAAAATTTACAAATCAGACTGTTCCTGCAGATACCTGAACTTGGAAAGTTCACAGGCATGTTAAAAAAAGAGTTTATTTTAAATGTTAAAATGCAGCTGATAATTTTTAGGAGCTCTGTCAACACTTGTAGGATGAACACTAGGAGTGGTCACCGTGGTGAACAGAGTAGAGGAGGAAAAGACTAGAACCCCATCCCATGCCACATTTTTTCACTTGGTCCAATTTCTTGTTGCAAAAATACACATTGAAGAAAGTGCTTAACCAGGTGCCTGTCAATGGTTCAAGTTCATGTGAACCTCTCTAAACAAAAAACCTTCAGATTGACTTGTTGACATTCACTTTCAGGACATAGGCCTGCACTGGAAGTAATATCAGCTCCCCTTTCATTTAGTGCTTTTGCTTTTCATTTCAAATTCACATGTAAAAGACATACAAATATCTCTGCTGCAATTTAACTACGAATGGAAGTTCAGGAGTTTGGTGTTCTCTTCAAAACAGGTAACAAGTGACAGGACAAGAGGAAATGGCCTCCAGTTGTGCCAGGGGAGTTTTAGATTGGATACTAGGAAAACTTTCTTCCCCAAAAACCCAAAATGGTTGTCAAGCCATTGGAATAGGCTGTCCTGGGAAGCAGTCGAGTTGCCATCCCTGGAGGTATTTAAAAAGATGTGTAGACGTGGCACTTAGGGACATGGTTGAGGGGTGGACTTGGCAGTGCTCAGTTAATGGTTGGACTTGGTAATCCTAAGGGTCTTTTCCAACCTAAATGATTCTGTGATTCTATATGCACAGAACAGCTAAAACTTGCTGGAAGTCCAAGATACCAGGTTGTTAATGATCCAGCCTTTGAAATGAGTAACTCTGGTAAACAGCTCTGAAAAATCTGTGCCCAAATAGTTTCTTAATATGGGATCTTGGTACTTTTGCCAATTGATTGAATTTTATGGGAGTGCAGAGCCAGCAGACATCTGGGACACAGCTCCTTAATGCCCTTCTCAGTTATCACCCAGTCTACACTGCTCTGCTGGTAAAATGGGATTAGTAAATTCACCAGTTAGAATAAAATGGAACTGATACGTGCAAGGCACTTTTTTTCTGTTCATATTCCAGAAACCCAGTCTGACCTTTTTCACCTTCTGTGGATTTTTCATACGACGACACTTTCTAATATCCATTTCTGTGGTGTTCACACAGCCTGGCTGAAAAGAGATGGTAATTGTGTTACTGCTATGTTTACAATATTCATGCTACATTATCTTTCTAAAATATACAATTAGATCTTTTCCAACATTCTTTCCTGAGGTTTGTGCCCCATAAATTACCCTTGCTAAACAAAAGACTGCATACACCTAATATTGGCATCTCAATATCCAATCCATTTACTCATACCTTTGGCACGAAAAGGAAGTATCTCAGCTAAGAGAGGAGCTATTTCTAGGAAGTCTGAGACAAATCTGGTAAGCTGCTTTTCTTTCATATGCACAATAATCTTCAAAACTTCACATTTATTGTGTATTTCCAAATCAATAGTTACAGGCACGCACAAGGCTAGAATGTCTAAAATAATCTTGTAGACACTTGGTGTGTTTCAGACTGTAAGAAAAACCCATGTGGTGACTTTGAAGGCAATATCTTTGTGCATAGTGCAGTTTACTAATATTAAAACTTTTCTGTCAAAACCTGGAAAGACTCATCATTCAAAAAAAGCTTTACCACAGGCCTGTGCACATCCCAGAATGCTCTTTCCTGGCTGTCCAAGATTTTTCTTTCTGTTTTATCCTTTTTCCTGTCAATTCTGAAAAGAAAAACAGAAACAGATGAGTCGATGTACAAGAAACACTTTCTTCTCTGTTACAGTTCCTAGCTGGGGTTTTTGACCCCATGACAAAAAAATACAGGAATCCACTTTTTTTTGTACAGCATTGTCACACTCCCACTTGCAAGGCCATGTGCCATGAACAAAATATCACTGGTGTTTACTCCAGTATGCGTCAAAAGAGATTTTCCTATTAACATGGGAAATTTAACATGTGTTTTTTACCTGCTGAGGAAAAAAACCTTTCCTAATACTCTGCTCCCAGACCCTGACTTGATGGACAGAAAGTTCAAAAGGGACCCTCTTTACACTAGGTGAAGTTCTTGGCTGATGCTGCTCCACATCATTGCACCCTGGTGCCCCAGTAGCACCACTGGCATGACCAGACTGCAAAGTGGCAGCTCTCCCAGGCATTCCCAGCAGCTGCATGGGCAGCACTCATGACTACCCCTCTCAGAGCTTTCAACCCTTAGACTGGCTCTGCTGTATGCCCTGGTGTTGGGAGAGCAAAGGGTGAAAGCCAGCACTCACCCAAGAGACACAAGATCGGGCTGGCACAACAGTAACTCCGTAATTTCAGCTCTGCTGCTGCCAGAGAACTGACTCACTCAAAACACACGCATCAAAGGACACCAGAGGCTGTTCAAAGCAACTGTTACCCTATCTCTTGGCAACGCTGAACACTTCATGTCTGGTGCTTCACTCCCATGCCCAGCTCTGCACGTGAGCATAGCAAAGTCACCACTGGATTGCAAGATCCACCTGCAGAGGCTGGATGAGGCACAGGGAAGGAGGAAAGCCTCCACCTCAAGAGCAGAACTGAAAAGCTGACATTGTCCCTCGGCTGGGTTCCCACATTGCTCCATTTTCTCCACCCAGAAAAATCAAAGCAGTGAGGGGAAAAAAACCCACACCAGGTGGGACTTCTGACCATCAGGTTCTCTCCCTTCTGACTTCCTTTTGGAGGGGCAGTGATCCTCAGTTAAGCCTCCATTAGAAATGCACCAAAGGACAGGAAACAGAAGACTGAAGCTGGAGTTTCTGAACACCCCTTCCCACCAAAAGTCCAAGTCCTCCACAGTTTGGTATCACTCTCTGAATATTCCCCTGCAAGGCTGAGACAAGAAATCAGCACTGCACCACCCCACACATAGACAGAGCAGCCACCAGACAGCAGTCACTGTACTGCACTGACGAGCTAGTGCAAACATCCAGTCCAAAACTACTTTTAGTGAGCAAGTCCTTCACACCAGGCCAAAGTGAAAGGTGGAGTCCTCTGCCAATCTCACACCACACAGCACATAGAAACTGGAGGGTCTCTTTGAGGGCTTCCTGAGTTGTCTTCACAGGTGCTTTGTGCTCAAACCAGGTTCTTAGCTTATATCCCTAAACTAACTCAGTATTTCACATTTTAAACTAGGAAGATGTAACATATTAGGTGGTCTACGGCTATGTTTTTTGAGCAGTGTAGGTATAGCAATGGTAATCCTGTGTGCAAGCAAAGACATGCAAGGCAGAGTGGAACTTGATAAGGAGGAGGGACATTTTCAGGTGTTTTGGGTTGTTTTCCTTTTTAGTTAATGCAGGGCTGTGAATTACACTGTGTATTCCAGCCCTGCCTTCTTGGAAACCTGAACACTAAGCCATCGCAGGAACTGCCAATCAAGAAGCTGAAACTAGCCAGCTAAAAAAGTTGATAGTGGCCAGTACATTCTTATGTTTCCAAGAAAACAGAATGAAGATGAATAAGCAACAGTGATCACAAAGAATCTGATATTTACATTTCTTTCTTAGGTACTAACTGTATGCTGTAAATAGAGTACAGAATTTTGTTTTGACTTAGAATCGTAGAATTATAGAGTCATAGAATAGTTAGGGTTGGAAAGGACCTTAAGATCATCAAGTTCCAACCTCCCTCCCATGGGCAGGGACACCTTGCTCTAAACCATGTCACCCAAGGCCTTGTCCAACCTGGCCTTGAACACTGCCAGGGATGGAGCATTCACAGCCTCCCTGGGCAACCTATTCCAGTGCCTCACCATGCTAACAGGAAAGAATTTCCTCCTTATATCCAATCTAAACTTCCCCTGTTTAAGTTTTAACCTATTATCCCTTGTCCTATCATTACAGTCCCTAATGAAGAGTGCCTCCCCAGCATCCCTATAGGCCCCCTTCAGATACTGGAAGGCTGCTATGAGGTCTCCACGCAGACTTCTCTTCTCCAGGCTGAAGAGCCCCAACTTTCTCAGCCTATCTTCACACGGGAGGTGCTCCAGTCCCTTGATCATGCTCGTGGCCCTCCTCTGGACTTGTTCCAACAGTTCCATATCCTTTTTGTGTTGAGGACACCAGAACTGCACACAATACTCCAAGTGAGGTCTCACGAGAGCAGAGTAAAGGGGAAGAATCACCTCGTCTGACCTACTGGTCACGGTCATTTTGATGCAGCCCAGGATACGGTTGGCTTTCTGGGCTATGGGTGCACACTGAAGCCAGATCATGTTCATTTTCTCAACAACCAGCACCCCCAAGTCCTTCTCTGCAGGGCTGCTCTGAATCTCTTCTCCGCCCAGCCTATAGCTGTGTCTGGGATTGCTCCGACCCAGGTGTAGGACCTTGCACTTGGCACGGTTAAACTTCATGAGGTTGCCATCAGCCCAACTCACAAGCATGTTGAGTTCCCTCTGGATGGCATTCCTTCCCTCCAGCGTACCAAGCAAACCACAGAGCTTGGTGTCATCGGCAAACTTGCTGAGGGTGCACTCAATCCCACTGTCCATGTCAGCAACGAACATGTTAAACAAGACCTGGCCCAACACCGATCCCTGAGGGACACCACTCATTACTGGTCTGCAGCTGGACATTGAGCCACTGACCACAACTCTTTGTGTGTGGCCATCCAGCCACTTCTTTATCCACTGAGTGGTCCATCCATCAAATTGATGTCTCTCCAATTTAGAGACAAGGATATCGTGTGGGACAGTGTCGAACGCTTTACACAAGTCCAGGTAGATGACATCAACTGCTCTACCCCTGTCCATCAGTTCTGTATGCCCATCATAGAAGACCACCAAATTGGTCAGGCAGGATTTCCCCTTAGTGAAGCCATGCTGGCTGTCACCAAGCATCTTGTTGATTTTCATGTGCCTTAGTATGCCTTCCAGGAGAATCTGCTCCAAGATTTTGCCAGGCACAGAGGTGAGACTGACTGCTCTGTAATTCCCTGGGTCATCCATTTTCCCCTTCTTGAAAATGGGGGTTATATTCCCCTTTTTCCAGTCGTCGGGAACTTTACCTGACTGCCATGATTTCTCAAATATGATGGCCAGCGGCTTAGCAACTTCATTTGCCAGCTCCTTCAGGACCCGCTGATAGATTTCATTAGGACCCATGGACTTGTGCACATTCAGATTTTTAATTTTATTTTTTTAACTTGGCAATAAACATTTAAGTAACTGAAAGCACAATTGCTATTGTAACTTCTAATCTTCTTTTCCAAACAAAACACTGGTATTGTGGTCAGAAAAAATCCCTTAATTACCTTGTAATATAAAGGATAATTACCAATGTACTTAAATACTGCATAATTACAATGTTATTAAGCAAAGAATTAATCAAAATCCAAAGGGTTAATCAAAGATAAAGACATGCCTCAGCCACACCCTCAGGGAATTATGTTCCTTAACTTTTTAGCATCTAATGCTGAAAGTGCAAATTCTTTCTTGTGGTACAGTGTCAGTACTGGTGTTTTCATGTGCCATCTTTACCAGCTTTTCCATCTTATAGATGACAACTACATGTACAAAATGGACCTGTACAAAATGGACATGTACAGTTTTAGGCACTAGCTTGTAGACACTAGACTACAAAGTTTGGGTAAGTATACCCATTTTGCAGCAATAATGAAAACATGCTCAAAACATTAAGAGGCTTCAAACTATTTCCACAAAGGAAAGATTGGGGGGGGGGGGGGGGGGGAAGGCAGATTTAAATTATGAGCAGAGGATAGAAAAATCCCAGTACTGAATCTGAGAAAGTTTCATGTAAGTGGTACCCAATTCTCCACTCTAATTTAGTAACACAAGTCAGACTGCAGAGGGGAGAGAATAAAGTCAACTGGAGATTGGTATAAATGAAAAAACCAAATCCAGTCTGCTGTAAATACCACCCTTACAATCACTTTGAAGTGGCAATAGTTTTAGATTTACACACTTTACTAGCATACAGTAACACAGACAGAGTTCTTTCCATTTGTAAAGAATGGAATACAAAAATACTTCACAAAAGTAGAAGCTGAATGGGCAAGTGAATATCCCAAGCTCCCATGGTGAACACAGGCCCAGGAGCTCCTCACCAACATTTCCAAGTACAGATGATTAAACCCATCGTTCAGATTCTAGCACAAACTTTCAGAATTTGCTCTATATCGTTTCTAGGCTGCCAGCAATTAAAACTCACCAACACCTTCAGAGCTTTATCACAGTAAAGATTTTGACAAAGAAATTCCATCTGTATGGAATCCCTTTCCCTTCGCAGCTCTAAATACAGGTGCAGTTCAGTACTCCAGGATTACTCACTTCACTTGGGCCTCAGCTTGCATGAAGATGAATTCCCACTTTCTTGCAAATGCTCTCTGAAGTCTTGCTAAGTTTTCCTGACGAAAGATGAAAATAGTAAGAACAACTAATCCTTGCAATTACAAGTGCTTAAGATTACATTTAGCAGAGTGGGTGGTTATTTTATTCCTTTTTTTTTATTTTTTTTTTTCTAAGCTGGAAAACTCAAGACACAGAAGTCAGTGTTGATTTTGAGTGAACTATCTTGCAGGCAAAGCAAGGCTGTAATGCATCCTTTTGGGCTGCAGTCCTATAGCTGCAGCCAAAAGAGCCCTGTCAGGGGTAAGTAATGGAGTGTGATGAAGACAGCTTGAGCTCTACTATGAAAATAATGATGGACTTGTTCCCAAAAGATAACACCGAGAAGCTTTGTGAAGCTGACGACTTTCATTTCTGATAGCAGATGGCTGCCACCTGCACATTTCCCTCTCATCCCCACTTTCCCTTCCTCCCCCAGCTGCTCTCTTCTCTTCAGGCTTTTGCTGAGGTGCAAAGCCTGAGCATCCCTTGATTTGCTCAGCCCTGGTCACCGCTGAGAGCATTACGCAGCTGCACAGCACTGAAGGCTGGGGACTGCCAGGATGATTCACAAAAGGAAACAGCTTGTTTGTCTGAACAATGGATATAGCTGACTGCAAAGACTGGGTCCAAATGCAGCCTTGCTCTACATCTGAACTAAGAGCTCTGGTCCAGACCCATTACAGAGAGTGTCATGATCTGTACATTTGGAGGTAGATGTGACTTCATCGCAGCTCAAGGTCAAACTCAGGACATGGCCAGAATTTCAGGCTCAAATGGCACCCCAAAGTCACATATCCATACCCACCCTGATAAGGAGGTCTACGGGACCATTAACCTGACACCCTTCTCCATTACAGCTGGTTCAACTGTTGGAAATTTTCATTTTGAAAATGAACACTATTAGTTCTACTGCTGTTTTTTTTAAACCTATTCCCTTCATTTCAAGGAAGTACTTAAGTGCATGCATTTCAATGCTAGAAGAGATATTCCTATTATTTACTTTAAACTCTTGTATAACACAAGGCATAAAGCTTGGCCCTGTTACCACCAAGTCCATGTAAGATTTCAAGTCCGTATACACAGAAGAAAACAGTTAAACAAATGATTTACAGCTGTGTTGAACTGTGGTGATTTCCTTAACTATGACTACAAGGAAGAACTACTTGTAATTATCTGCAAAACCAATTTTTGCGGGTTTCTTTTTTTTTATTTTGCTTTAAATTATGTTCACATGTGCCTTCTGGTGTAAATATGCTGAAACCAATGAAACATCATCAACTGAAGCAATATTTGAATCATGCTTATGTTTGGCCGATTACCAACAAAACTGAATTAGAATATGTAACCTTAATCATATCATTGACACCTCTGCCCTAACAGTATAAATTGGGGGTGGGGAGTTATCTAGGAATGCTACAAGCAGAATCTAAACATGAGATGGCCCCTGAAATGCTTTGTAGAGATTCTTTTTGGAAACTCCAGGTCAGTGCTGATGCCTTCAGAGAATCATTCTCGTGCTACATCTTCAAACATGTGTTCTACATGGACAGAGCTCCTTCCACTCCTGTAAGCCTGTTTCTCTCACTTGTGCTTACATCTCCGTTGCTGGATCCACTTCAAGCTCCCATAATGACTAAGTAGAGTCAGAGCCATTCTTATCTGATTGTCTCTAATTAAGAGAACAAAGTCTGAATGCAGAAGTAATCTCTAATTGTGCAATGCAATATTCACAAGAAAAATGAGATACTGCCAAGGTCTAATTATTTGTCATTACTGAAGCATTGCTACACTCTGTAGACAACAACGTGCAAAAGTACTTAGCCAAAGCCTTACTGCATGTGTGTGGGAGTGTGCACACTGCTGAACAGCCTTTTGTTGCTTTATGATAGACCTTTAGAGTACTTACAGTTAATTGGTTGGCTGTGAGAAATTTTAATGCTTTTAATGATGAAATCAGCAATATGCAGAAGAGAAAACTCAGCAAAAGGATGTGGAAGTGCATGCAGATTATTATATTCCTTCCTTTATGCCTGTACTTCAAGATTAGAACTCTTGGGAACTCTGGATGCATTTTCAGGGTGGACTAGATAAGTGGCAATTTTTGCATGCTGTTTACTGAAAGACCAAACGTCATGTAGACATATCCATGTGCATAAAAGTCCCAAAACGCAGAAGGTAAGGAAGAAAGGAAAAGTCCATTCTTGGGAAAAAAAAAAAAACCCAACAAAAATATATGCAATATAAATGTTTTCATTGAAATAAACACAGACATAGAAGTCCAGTGGAACCAGTTTTGCAAACAAACCCTCCAGTGAAAAATTTCACACTTGAAATTCAGGTGTTACATTATGAAGCTAGTAAACAACAACAAAGTCAATACGATAGAATGAAAAGTTCAGCTGGTTAGAGTGTTACACTGCTCGTATTCAAAGAAATTCACACCAGCCCTGTCCTTCCTGCCTCTGTCTTCCCACTCCACTCTACTCAAACCCTGCACAATCTGAAGCCAAGGTTGGTGATACTTTTATGGATAATCATTTTATAACAGAAAACTTGACCTGGGTAAGCTTGGGTAATAGTTTTTCCTGTAAGGCATACTGAAAACAGTCCAAGTCTGATATCTGAAAACTGTCATAACTAGAATCATATGGTCATCAGCAATTTAATTGACTAACAACGCACCTGAAAATCCATAATTTCTGTGCATTAATATGTACCATATATTAATAAGGAACAGTTAACAGGAAACCAAGGTAAACTTCTGTGTAATTTCCCCAGTCTCGAAAGTCTGGCTATAGAGAAGATGCTTTAAGACACTGCAAAGCCAGTTATGTTCCCTAATAATGTTCCTGATGTCGTGTCCAGATCAAACTTCACACAATTCTGACAAGAGACACAGTAGCTGCTGATCCCAAAGCACAAAACGGCAGCATTCAATTAAGCAAGCAAAGCTCTCCCTGCACCCCCCAGCTTTAAGCTGTAGCAGCAGTGTACCTACGGCTTCATAATCTGCCAGCTCCAGCCTAGCTTTGTTCTGCATGGTCCGTTTGCAAAGATAGATTGCTAAAGAGAGAAACAGAAAATAATTACAGATTACTAGCATTAGATCCTAAAAAAAAAAAAAAAAAAAAAAAGGAAAAAAGTGCACTATTTGTTCTAATCAGAAAGCAACATGAGTCAAGGAATGAGAGGGTTGAATACCCAGCTGACATTACCCACTAGTAATCTTAGAAGCCTTAAACATCTGGGACATCTAATTTAAAAGTGCTGAGGGTAGATGCCAGAACCTAGCAAGATATTTGAGAAAGGCACAATTGCTTCTGGGGCTGGTAAAAGATTTACCTTTAGCAACCTGTTCCCCTCAGTACCTTGGGAATATCCCTTCCAAAGTGAAGCTGCTCTGCACTTTTCCCCTTTTGTTAATAAAAAACCCCAACAAAACCAAAAAACCAAGCCAACCATGCACCCCCAAAAAACAGAACAAAAACCAAACCAACAAAAAACAGTGAACAAAACCACCAAAAAAAATCAGAATATTGAAATGAAAATAGAAACATGGGCCATATTTTAAAGGTATGAGAATTTTTTCATATGCTTCATCCTACACATTTATATGCTTTTCATGCTACACATTCAAATGGTTAAGAAAAGCCTTCTCACATTTCATCATAGGCAGACACTGCAGGAACTGATGTGGTTTGGGATTTTGAGGGTCAAGATGAGCTCAGTGCACAATACCAAACCAGTCCCTGGCTGCCTTCTGGTAAAGCCTCAGCTGGACCTGCTCATCCCATTTCCATTGCAGGCTCAAACACATGGTCCCCAGCACAGCCTGGGTATACAGTCAGGTCTGAACTACTTAATAGAGGTCCAGTGCTCTCATTTGGGATGAATCTAGATGTGAATTTTATAGCTTTCTTCTGTTCTGCCCTCTTCTCATGCTCCAGGGCCAGGTACTTATTATCCAACAGCATACCAAACTGGAGCTGAGTGGAAGGTAATGCATCACCTACAGAAAACTACAATAAATCTCTTTCAGAAAATTTTGTCTTTTCCTTGAAAATCTTGGTGGGTTGGTTTGCTGGTAAATATAATTTTCTGACATCCTGATAAATGTTTTTCATTGGAGAACTAACCTTCTATGGAAAATATATGACAAAAAAAACCCCAAACAAAAAACCCAGACCAACCAGTTCTACTCGTGTGATTCTATTCCTATAATTCTAACATTCATATAATAGGCCAATATTATGCATAGTAACCAGAGGTGGTCGGTTCCTGTATGTTTATACATCTCAAGGGCAGGTTCTTCTGTAAGCCATTTGCAACACCAAATAAAGTTAAAGGCAGTCATCTCACAGTATTTCTTCACACTAAGCAGTGACCTGCCATTAGCAACTTAGTTCCTGTCCTCTGAGTGGATCTATGCAAATAAAAAAAAGTATGAAGTGCTGCTGGGATTTCAGTTTTATTTGGGTCTACTGCTAGTTTGGGATTAATTCCTGGGAAGACTCCATCTGCACAGACCTCTGATATGCAAAGACTGATTATAAGCATATGTTAGAGATTTCTGGGACAGATGAAAATCTGTCACTGCAGGGCTCAGGACTAATGCAGCTGCAGCTTGTCCAGCTCATACAGTACTTTGTTTTAAGGTGCACAGGTCCACTCAATGCCCTTGCAGCACAAATCTGACTGCAAAAACAGTTACTTAGAGATACTGTAGAAAAAAAAGAAAACCAGAACTTCCCTCTTCACATTGTTATTCTGATGTTTACAGACAGATATTTGGTGCAGTTCAGACAGTTATATATGGTGTCTGTAAAATCTGGAAATTATTTTGCATATAATGAACAGCATCATGTTTTCTCCTAAGCAGTTCCCCTCGCTGGGATAAACACATAAGCCACTGTGCTAGCTTTCTTGCAGATAAGGGACTGCAAATGAACTATTACATGACAGATACCATTGCAGGATACTTCTCCACCCTAGCAAATGATTCCCAGAATCCATAATGATGAGTAATTATTGCCCAGGAATGAAAAGAATCTGATTATCCAGGGAGGAGTTCTAAACTGATCTTAGGTTGTGAGATACTTCAAGAGAAGGACTTGCAGGAGCTCCTCTTTTAGGAGCACACGTGTGGATTCACTTCCTCTCCCAGTGCCACACCAGGATGCAGCAATGGATTTCATCATTTAACTGTGAAAGAAGGGCAGTTCTGGAAGAGACAGCGATGTTGCATGTAGACAGCTAAATATAACAACACTGACATATTTTCTTTATGTATTATAACTGTCTGCAGGCACTCACATGTTTAACACATCATGTTGCAGTTTATTAGCTCATAAACCACGTCCAATCTTCTCTTTTTTACCAGCTCCAGGAAAAATAAGTCTGGAGTCATATATCAGAGAGCTTTAACTATGAGTTGCCATCAGTTATACTGGTTTATTGATCAACCAGATGAGTGCCCACATGAGGTAACTTTTTATTGATCAATGTATCAGATTCAGCTACAGATCAGAGTATGTTCTCCCACAAAAGCAATATTGGTATTATTTAAGATTCCGAAGGAGCAGTATTCTGCTTGCCATAAATTCTGCCAAAATGAACAGAGCTATGGATGAATGAAGGTAATGGTAGGTAAAACCCTGGCCTCACTGGACTCAACAGCTACAGTTCCATGGGCTTGAGACACTTTAGGACTTCATGTATTTGGGATGGGCGTGTATCTGCCTCTGATGCTGCAGTCTGACAAGTAACTCTGCTGATGAAGGGTTTATTTAATGGCCAACAGTAATTAAGGACAATTTTTTCCATCACAAGCTTTCCATACTAACTTTCTACAATGAAATGATTCTACTCTCACCGTAATCTGTATTTTCAGGTTCCCAGCAGTTTGAAGGCCAAAAATATGGTGCCTAAGAAAGAACATATGCATTTTTATAATGAAAGGGATGAAAAACAATTCAGATGCAGAAAAACATTGCAAATGCATAAAGAAGAATCATACAGGTGCAGAAAGAAGAATCACAGTGTCTATGGCCCAGTCTCTGCCAACAGAGGAAACACTGCTACAGATCTCAGCAAAAGTGAGGATGCTTTTCCAGGATGATACCACCTTTAGCATTCCTCACTGCAGGTAATAGAAATGCTAAATACAAGCATGCAAAGTATGGTTGGCAGCCTAACAAAAAAATTAGTTTTAAAATACAACAGATGCCAGAGGTCAAAACTCAGCTGATTAGAATCATTCTGAAAAGAGAAGTCCTGCTAAGCTTACTGGTTTTGGTTTTTATCCAGGCCTCCATATTGCAGTTGCTACAATTAATTACAAGATATTACTACCCATAGCTGTATTTCAGTTTTAACATGAATGAAAAATAATGTCTGTGTCCAAATTACAGAACACTGTTTTGCATTACTGATGTAATGACACAAATGGGCATAGGATATTACACACAGATTATTCCTTGTACAAAAGTACAACGAGAAAACTGAGGGATCAGGCAATCTGGGTTCAACATCCCTTGCTAATACACATCTTAGGAACTTCACAAGATTAGGAGCTACTGTTAAAGGAGGGACTGAAGTTCAGGTAGAAAGTGACAAGGAGAGAGTAATGGAAAAGAAAGATGTTTCTATCAGGTTATTTTTCCAGAAAATGGCTGAGGAGAACTGTCGCAGGAAATGACAACAGGCAAAGAATAAGCAAAAGTTGTAGGAAAAGATAAGGGAAACAAAAGTCAGTAAGCAATAACCAAAACTTGATGATGTGGTTTACACAGGCTTAAAATAAGGAAAAGTAAATTACACTGAAATCTAGGTACTGAGAGATGCACAGGACAACAACTTATGGTGTCATTCTTCAAACAGAGAAAAATACAACTGAAAGGGCAATCACTATTACCCTTGCTTCTGTCAAGTTTTACATGACAGGGGAGCAGGACTTTCAGAAAAGCAAGAGAATTGTAATGAAAAATCTTAGTTTGAATGAAGCCAGGAAACCAGAAGGTGGGGTGAGATAAGAGGAGTTCTGTGATCTCCTGGGCTGCTTTGTTCACTGTACCATTGGTCTTATATGATAACACAATATCACATTAACAGTAGGACAGTGAGGATGAGCAGCAGCAACATCAGGTGCAAGAACAGGCTTTTCAAATAAAAACTAAAAAAAGAGAAAGAAAAAAAGTGAAGGAGGAACAGGAGGGTGAACAGAAGAGAGGTCATAGGAAAGATAAGGGAGCTGGCTGGGATCACGTAGCAGAGCAACACAAATTCAGCCAGCAGGATTAGGCAGCAAGACTCCAGGTCTGAACTTACTGCTCCATTTAAAGTTACAAAATCTGTCTAAAAGCTGTTGTACCACAAACACTCAGTTATCTCAGAAGTTGACAGGAGCAGATTTTGGACAGGGCATGGAACTCAAAGGCAGGAGGCTTTAAAAATTTAATGCATCTGGAGGCACAAGGATACTGAGGGATAGAGATGTCCCAGATTAGGTGACTGCCAAGGTTACACATCCTTTGCAAAAGAGCCAAAGCCTGAAGCTTGCCCTCTCCCATTGCAAGCTGTAACCAGGACAGGACAAAAATTTGAATCTTCTGCTGTGTCAGAGCTTGAGTGCCCAGCTCCAAAGCTTGCCCTTGGCCATTTTGCACAGGATGGTGGCTCCTCAATTCTTGCCAAGGTTAAAATCTGAAAGCCATTTTCTCTCTGGTTTAGTTCAAATCTGAGCACAACAGCCTTGATGTATCAAAAATAATCACAGGATATCTGTTCATTTATGTAAAACCTGTGGGTCAGAAAAGCAGTAATTTGGGATTTTAAAGCAGATCATTTTGAAAGGGCTTTATCACTTCTTAAGGTCTCTAGATAGTCTCAGCCCCTGGCTTCAGAGACCTAATGGGTATTTAGGGATAAAGAGCAGGTGATTTCAAGAGTATTATTGCAGGGACAGTAGACGGGGCCATAAGGGACACAGAGAGCTCACCAACCTGAAAACGATAGAACGTCCCATCATCTTTCAGGGTAAGAACATGGTCTGAGATTGGAAAGACATAACCCTGTGCAGCAATAAGACTTCCCAAGTGTATTGCTTCCCCTGTGAAAGAGAAAAAAAACAGGGATGTGTCAGGAAGACATTCACCACACACTCCTCTGCTTTCAGCAGTGGCTCTGGTGATGACTTGTGCAAAGACCTGATGCACACATGCCTGTCTGTACCCACACCGCATCTTTATGCCTCCCAACCAAACCATGCCAAACAGAAGGAGCAGGAATCAGGCTTGCAATACTGATGAAACGCTGTTCAAATGTTTAACTTGCTGGTTTTATGTTTACAAAATGTCACACATCAGTTCTAGTCTGAAGTTCAATTCAAAGCCTTTTATCCACCACAGGTGACAGGTGACAGGAAGACATGAACCCCCCACTTGCCTTTACCAAATCCAGCAAACAGCTGCAACACCAGGTCACTAGCAGCGTGTTTATTCATAAAGACAAGTCCTGAGAGTGTAGCATTGCCATTCATTACCGGAAATGTGCAGAGGCAAAAGGGAGTACATATCCTAGCCCTGCCAGGGCAATCCTCACCAGCACAGAAGCACATCTGCACAGATTTTCAACCAAAGTCAGCTCTCAAAAGCCGCATCAACTTTCTCAGAGCTGCAAAATACACATCAGCTGCTCATGCACCCCCAGGCAGATAAAGCAGCTATTGTCTGCAGCTGAAATTCAGGTCTGGGACTTGACTAGACTCACGAGAAGGGATGTGTGTATATGGTGCCCTGGGTGAGGCAACATTGCCTATATCTCTGCTTTTACATGGTGACAGTAGGCAGCAGTAAACAAACTGGGAGGTGAAAAGGAAAAGAAACTTCTGGAACTGCAGACCTTTTCTTCCTCTATTCCAAACAGCTCTTATGTGTGCCATTAACGATTTTTGTTTCTCTGAAGAGTGAGCTATTTGGACTGTACCCAAGCCCTGATCATTGTTTGTGGCTGATTACCCATTTATCTATCTGCTGTGATAAATTAGCAGCCATCACCTGATTCTATGATGGTACCTGTGTTGTCCTTGGCCAGTATGTCCTGTCAGTCACGGTTACCTTTCTCCACATGATGAAACCTGGACCTCATTTGCCTGCTTAACTACACACATCCACCAATTTCTTTTCTAAGACTGCGAACAGCTTTGAAAACAATCAGTCTTTGTTGGGTAGCAATAATTTCACGGACAGGCTAAGGCTCCTACAAGGTGCTTTTGGTGTGTTGCAGTGTAAAACATTAGACTTCACATGTTGATTTTTATCTCTTTCACTCCTCCTTCACCTCAATCCTTAAATGAACCTTGATCTACTGGTATTTTAGACTGCAGCAAAATAACATCTACTGTCTAATGGCACACACAATACAGATGGAGTATCTGTTCCTCCCCAGCTATGGTCACCTTACCTGGATCCTCGATACTGAGGTTCTTCATAAGCCACTGCACAATATCAGCACCTGAAGAAAAATAGTGAAGAAAGCATTAAGCACTGAGACCACAGGGTTGAAGACCCCAAGAGAGGAATAACATTGAGATAGAGTAAAACTGACATAAAAAGGGAAGTAGGTTAATATTAATCTCCACTGAAGTTTCAGAATGTTTTTCCTTCCTGTGTCACACTGTAATTATACAGTTACAGAGAGGCACTAAGTCCTAAGTAGTTTGATACAAGACCTGATATACTTGAAGTCAGACATTAATGGTTCCATGTAACTTGTTCTCTCACAGTTGCTCTCTCCCACCTCAGCACACAGAGAGGTGCATATATGCAAACATTTGCTAGCAAGGAGGCAAAGGAACATTTACTGGCCCCTTGCAACTGTCATGTGAGAGGCAATAATATAAAAGTACAGAAGTGAGTTATCAGTCATAAAAGAAAGGAAAGCCTCACTTATATTGAAGACAAGCATTCAGTGTGCCTGTAACAAAGCCACTGGCTTAGCTGTCACATGCCAGTGATCACATTAGCCAGATGGTGGCCAGGAGCAGAAAAGTAAGGCTCTAAAGCCCATCAGATAGTTTATTAGGTCTTCAGGGCCCATCAGGTAGTACAAAGGTTGTTGCTATCTTACAAGCAGCATGAAGATCTCTAGGTTTGGTCCTCTGCATGTACACAAGCTCTCTATTGCTTGCATGGAAATCATAGAAGTGGAAAACTTGTTACTCTTCAATAAAAGCTAAAGCCTTTTATTAACAAAACACAACATGACAGGACAGCAAAATTTAGTTAAACCCCATACTCAGAAAGTTGAGCTTAAAATGAAACTAACGTGTGTACAAGTCCACTAGCTTGACCTGTCCAAACTCAAAGGCAATCAGCAAAGGCACTTGGAGTTAATTTAGAAAAGCCATGCCAAATTACAGCAGTGTGCAGTACAACCTAACAATGCCATGTCTGGCTGCAGGCATGACACCAATACCTTCTCAGCATACAGTCAATTTGTTGGGAAATATTTACATTCACATACAGAAGGTTAATAGCCCTGGTAATACTTCGTGCTATGCTTTGTGATACATCACTTGAAGATAGCATACAAAAAGGAACCAATCAACCATATGGTTTGGGCTTACTGAACAAACCCCAGAGGATCTTATTTGCATAGAGCACTTCTGGACTCAGACATGATGGGTTCTTCAAGAAACAGCATTACCCACATGATGCCTGTTCCAGAAAACTCTGAAGGACATTTTACTTTCCGTAGACCCATAGCATCCCCACACCCTCAGCAAACCTGAAATACTGCAAAAGACAGGCATGACAATTATGATGTGCCACAGAGACAGATGACAGCACTGCTAGTGTCACAGGTTCCTGCAATATCTGCAGGTCTGACTGACTCTCCCATACAGGTGAAATTCCCAGTAGAACTGTGTGTTTTACTTCACACAGAAAGTGATAGCAGCTTCTGCTCCCCCTGGCAATGCAAGCTGACCCCCACCTCCACAAGAAGCACTAGCAAATCCTCTTCAGTCAGGCTTCAGCAACAAGTGGAAATATAAACCTGGCCTCCCTCATCCCCCACCCAAGGCAAGTGAAAGAACTTGGTTGTTGCCTGCAGGTAATCAGCAGAGCTCCTGAAAATCAGGGAAGCATCTGCTTTGACTTAAATACTGAGCAGACAGATATGACCAAAAGGCAACAGCTGGGCATTGTCTCAATCTGCCTTGAAAGAATCAATGAACCAGAAACTGAAGGAGCAGTCTCACAAGCTGGTATTTTTAGCTTTATGGTCATTCTCCAAACCCCTCAAATCCACCTAGGAGCAATTCAAGTTACCACAATCCAAGTTAGACATTTATTCCAAAACTTTTTTTTTTTTTTAATAGATGGAAGTCTTCTTGTAACTTCCATTATATGTTTATTAATATGCAATTTATATGCATCTGATATCATCCTTGAATTACCATTTAAGGGAAATAATTATTCTTCTTCCTTAATAGCTTCTCCTGAGTGTTTCTACAGAGGGCTGACACGTTGCCTCCCCACCTCCATTTCACTAAACCAACTGAAATTTTAATGTCCTCTTATGATGGCCTCTCCCTGTACTTGGCCATTTGGCAACTTTTCAAGTTTAAGTTCCATTTCTTTGCACTGGGATCACCAGAACCGCAGGCAGTACCTTGCAGAACATCTAACCAATGCCTCTGGCAATAGTCCCAGCACTTTTCTGTCTCACCTGAAACCAGCTACCACGTGCATCCTAAATCACATAATTTATTATTTTTTTTGTGAACAGTAAATTTATTCAGAAAAAGATGTATGAGGGGTCCAAAACTGGCTGTTATGTGAGAACACATCTAGTAAGCATTGCTAAATGAAAAACATACGGGGAAGATGTTCAGAGCCAGTAACTGTTGTTTGACATTTATTAATCAAATAGTCTATGTTATAAACATGATTTTTTCCTTTCCACTAAACAAAAATATCCCAAAGATAGAACAAAACCTTTATGGTTATAAAACTACTTCAAGAAGACCCAAACTGAAGTACTTCTATATTGTTGGACACAAAATCAAACCTCACAAAACGGTTCAAGCTAAACCAGAATCTTTATTGAGTTTTCTGTTCATCCTCCAAATTACAAGTTTACTTTTTCTTCTGAATTTGGTCACAGATTACAGGCTTGCAATGATCTAGATCATCTTAAGAACCTGAATGTGCACAAGTCATAGAATCATAGAATCATAGAATAGTTAGGGTTGGAAAAAACTTTAAGATCATCAAGTTCCAACCCCCCTGCCATGGGCAGGGACACCTCGCACTAAACCATGTCACCCAAGGCCTCGTCCAACCTGGCCTTGAACACTGCCAAGGATGGAGCATTCACAACCTCCCTGGGGAACCTATTCCAGTGCCTCACCACCCTAACAGGAAAGAATTTCTTCCTTATATCCAATCTAAACTTCTCCTAAGTTTTAACCCATTACACCTTGTCCTATCACTACAGTCCCTAATGAAGAGTCCCTGATGAAATCCATCCACAGGTCCTGAAGGAGCTGGCAAATGAAGTTCCTAAGCCACTGTCCATCATATTTGAAAAAGAATGGCAGTCAGGTGAAGTTCCTGACAACTGGAAAAAGGGAAACATAACCCCCATTTTCAAGAAGGGGAAAATGGATGACCCAGGGAGCTACAGAACAGTCTTGTCTCTGTGCCTGGCAAAATCCTGGAGCAAATTCTCCTGGAAGGCATGCTAAGGTACATGAAAAACAACAAGGTGCTTCGGGACAGCCAGCATGGCTTCACTAAGGGGAAATCCTGCCTGCCCAATTTGGTGGCCTTCTATGATGAAGCTACAGAACTGATGGACAGCGGTAGAGCAGTTGATGTCACCTACCTGGACTTGTACAAAGCCTTCAACACTGTCCCACACAACATCCTTGTCTCTAAATTGTAGAGACATCAATTTGATAGGTGGACCACTTGGTGGATAAAGAACTGGCTGGATGGCTGCATGCAGAGTTTTGGTCAATGGCTCAATATCCAGCTGGAGAACAGTAATGAGTGGAACCGGTGTTTGGACTGGTCTTGTTCAACATCTTTGTTGGTGACATGGATGGTGAGATTGAGTGTGCCCTCAGCAAGTTTGCCGATGACACCAAACTGTGTGGTTCGGTTGATACACTGAAAGGAAGGAATGCCATCCAGAGGGAACTCAACATGCTTGTAAGGTGGGCTGATGTAAACCTTATGAAGTTCAACCAAGCCAAGTGCAAGGTCCCACATCTGGGTCAGGCAATCCCAGGCACAGCTAGAGGCTGGGCAGAGAAATGATTCAGAGCAGCCTTGTGGAGAAGGACTTGGGGGTTGTTGGTTGATGAGAAAATGAACATGAGTTGGGCTGCATCAAAAGGAGCATGACCAGCAGGTCAAAGGAGGTGATCCTGCCCCTCTACTCTGCTCTCTTGAGACCTCACTTGGAGTATTGTGTGCAGTTCTGCTGTCCTCAACATAAAAAGGACATAGAACTGTTGGAACAAGTCCAGACAAGGGCCACAAGGATGATCAGGGGACTGGAGCACCTCCCATATGAAGACAGGCTGAGAGAGTTGGGGCTGTTCAGCCTGGAGAAGGCTGCGTGGAGACCTCATAGCAGCCTTCCAGTATCTGAAGGGGGCCTATAGAGATGCTGGGGAGGGACTCTTCATCAGGCACTGCTATGATAGGACAGGGGAAGTTTAGATTGGGTATAAGCAAGAAAATCTTTACTGTGAGGGTAATCCAAAGCCTTTGGAAAAGGCTGCCCAAAGAAGTAGTAAATGCTCCATCCCTGGCAGTCTTCAAGGACAGGCTGGACAGAGGTTTGGGTGACATTGTCTAATTTGAGGTGCCCCTGCCCTTGGCAGGGAAGTTGGAAGTAGACAATCTTAAGCTCCTTTTGAACCCTTACTATTCTATGATTCTATGATCTTTTAGGCATCTTATTGCCAAGTGACATGACATCTGATATCTTAAAATCATCTAGAGCAGTGCACTGCTTTGCTCCGAGGAGGTGTAGTTCATTCTGCATGATCCCTTTCCAGATATACAGGAATACTTAATGCAGGATTAAGTCCCATCCCATTTTAACATTCAACAATCATCTCCCCGGCTCTAGGCCTCTTTTGAGGAATCTATTAATTTTTCATCAAACTACAATGAAAAAGTCATGTAATGTTTGAAACGTGGTTCCCCAGTTTTCTTGCCCCTATTGCTAAGATTTAAAAAGAGAGGCTTTAAAGGTTCAAGTAAATTGTAAACATCATCTCAAACAGAACTCCTGTGATCAGTCACTCTGGACTATAAGCAGCACTTGAGATCAGGGATTTTAATTTGTCTCTGTTAAAAACATGAAATCATTCCTGAATGTTGCCAAGAGCCTGGAAGATGTTATAGTTGTTCTCCAGTTGTCCTGAGGCAGATTATCTTTCTGCTGAGTTTGCTGAACCATTATTTATCATCTGCCAAGACCAATTA